AGATATAGATATAGATATAGATATAGATATAGATATAGATATAGATATAGATATAGATATAGATATAGATATAGATATAGATATAGATATAGATATAGATATAGATATAGATATAGATATAGATATAGATATAGATATAGATATAGATATAGATATAGATATAGATATAGATATAGATATAGATATAGATATAGATATAGATATAGATATAGATATAGATATAGATATAGATATAGATATAGGAGAAGAGGCGAGGAGGAGAGAATAAGCGAGGAAAATATAATAGAAAGGGAGAGGAAGGATATAGAAGAAGGAGATGAAGAAAGGGACAGAAGGGGGATAAGAAGGAAAGTTAGAAGAAGGAGGGGTGATAAGCAGAAGACTGAAAAAGGAAGAATTGGATAACTAGAGGCCGGAGAAGGAAGGAGGAGGGGGATAAAAAGAAGGAAGGTGGAAGGGGATAAGAAGTGGGAAGGGGGAGGGGGATAAGAAGAAGGAGGGCAGAGGAGGATGAGAAGAAGGAAGGCTTAGAAGAAGGAAGGGGATAAGCAGAAGACAGGAGAAGGAAGGAGGGACGACTTAGCAAGGCTTAGAAAAAGTGACGAGAAAAAGTAGGAAGGAGACGTGAAGCCGGAGAGGAGGGTGTGAAAGAGAGACGGGCGTGAGGCATGATAAAAAAGGGAAAAGTCTAAGGAAGTTTCAAAACAAAACTGGTAATTGAAAAGGTAAATAAAAGAGGGAGAGGAAAATTCAGATCACATGTTTGTCTGTTTGTTTGCTTGTTTGACTACAGACTCGAGCGGGCGCGCGTGTGCACTAGTGTATGCGTTTGTATACCCGTGTGTTTGTCCATTTGTATATCTGCCTGTCCGTCTGTGTGGAGCTGTATAGATTTCAAGGGAGTTTAGATGCGCGCGTGTGTTTGCTCGTGTGCGCATGTGTTGGTACGTGTGCACGTGCGTTCGTATGTGTACATGCGTTTGTCACTCCACCGGACGGATATCATACAGGAATTGTGACAGATGGGCTGCTGATGTTTTAATTCTTTTCACACTGTTATTGGTCCTGTCGCCGGCTGTCAGTCACAGGCGCTCCGTTGCTCTGCCGTGAGCGCCCGTCAGCCGACCTTACTTTTGTTGGCCACTCTCATCATTCTTCTCACGCTCGGCCGCTGCGATGTGACGTTTAAAACTGTAGGTCGTGATGGAGCTATCAGTTGTGTTAGAGAGCCAATATGATTTCTCTTTTATTGGTAAATACGGCTCGCGTTGTGTGCGCGCGCCGGGGACGGGAGGAATTATCCCGTGTCGCCCTCACGGCTGTCCTCTCGCCCTCGCCGCCGCGGGGCCGGTCGCCGGAGAGGGCCGCTGCTGGTCGGGTCCTCCTCTTATTCATCCACGGTGCATAATGTTGCGTGGCGCAGCGTTCATAGTACAAATAGCATAACAAGTTTACTGTATTCACCATGGTATTACGCAGTCCTGTTACATAGTCAGGATAATGTAAAAAAAATACAATACCACAGTAGCAGATACCAAAGTGTCATCATTACACAAGTAACGTCCAGAAAATATCTTTCTACATAAGATATTATACACACACACACACACACACACACGTACACGCACACGCACGCACACACACACACACACACACACACACACACACACACACACACACACACACACACACACACACACACACACACATATATACATATATATATATATATATATATATATATATATATATATATATATATATATATATATATATATATAAACATATATACTATATATATATATATATATATATATATATATATATATATATATATATATATATATATATATATATATGCCACACACCTTGCAGGGATCATACCACAACCCAAAGAGCAGGCGAGCCAAGTCCCATACTACAACAACTATGGAAAAGGACAAACTGGCAGCTCCCCCGGGCTCTGGGGCACTCCGATTCGCCTTCCCTTTTGTAATTCAATCGCCTGACACTTAAAAGGGGAAGGAGATGAGGATAAGCAGGGAAAAGAGAAGGAAGGAAAAGGGGGATAAGAAGAAGGAAGGCTTAGAAAGAGGAAGGGAGAATTAGCAGAAGGCAGAAGGAAGGATGAGTAAAAAAAAAAAAAAAAAAAAGATTAAGAAAAGAATGGCATGAAAACGGAGAGCGTGAATGAGAGAATGCGGATGTGAATGTGCTTTTTTTCATATACATTAATTTCATCGCATAGCACCTTCCTCTCAAAAGACACTTGGCGAATCGGAGTTCCCCAGAACCAGGACTGAGTTGCAGGTTCTTCCTTTTCTGAGAGTGAACGAAGTATTCCACCTCACACCTACCTTAATAACAATATCCCTCTGTCCTGCAGGTGAGCGGAGTCATCAACAACACGGGGCACAGTGTGGTGTTCACCCTGGGAGTCACAGGTCACCATCACCCTAGTATCAACGTGACGGGGGGTCCTCTGTCCTACCGGTACCAGGTAAGCTCCCGGTATAGTTGTATGACCTCTGTGTGGGTCTCTGTGGTATAGTTTTTTCAGCTTATATGGTTGCCTAACTTCTATGCTCCCCTGTCCTATATGGTTCCCTATCCCGCATGCTTTTCAACTCTACTTGGCCGTCTGTCCAATATGGTTGTCTAACCTGTATCGTTCTCTGCCCTATGTGGTTCACAAGTTTGTATGGTTACCTACCCTGTATGGTTCCCTATCTGATATGACATTTAGCATGTATGGTTCCCTATGTAGTTTGGTTGTCTAACCTGTATTGTTTTCTATCATGTACGGCTTTCTATTTTGTATGTTTTTTCTATATTGTACGGTTGTCTACCATGTATGGTTGTCTGAGCTGTATGGTTCGCTATACTGTATGGTATTCTATCCTGCATGGTAGTCTACTGATCTCTAATTCATGTGGTTCTTTATTCTGTATAGTTTTCTATCTTGTGTGGTCCTCTATCTTGTATGGTTGTTTATCGTGTATGGTTCTCTGTCACTTATATCTCTGTATCCTAAATGGTCGTCTATCCAGTGTGATTGCCAATTCTGTACGATTTCCTATCCGATATGGTTCTCTAGCTTGTATGGTTTTCTACCCTGCATAGGCCTCTCCCCTATATGATTTCTATCCTATATGGCAGTTATCTGTCTACTCTGTATGCTTGTCTATCCTTTATAGTTCGTTTCCCATATGATGATTTATTCTGCATGGTTCCTTATCCTGTGGTTCTCTATTTCGAGGCTGTTTATTTTGCATGGTTCTCTGTCCTGGATAGTTCTTTATTCTTTATCCTGTGAAGTTCTCTGTGTTCTATAATTCTCTATCCTCCATGGTTCTTATCCTTTGTTTTACTGTTCTGTGTAGCTTTCTATCCCCGAGTTCAGAATCATGTGCACATAGAATAGGAAATCGCTTTTGGGTGTCTACTTTAATATATAATTAATTCAGCTTCAATTACTCTGATTTGGACATTTCCCACATGGATGATTTGAATTTTTTACTTTATTGATTCATTTAATTAATTTAACTTTTTTTTACGACTTTTGTTGTGTTTCTCTCATTGGCCGTTGTCTGAGGACGACAGATGGCGTATCTCATCTTAAAGAGCTTCCCTATAAGATTCTCTTCTTTGTTTGTGCCTTTGTCTTCTTGATTGAACGCAAATCCCTGATCATCTGAAACTGAACATGTTGCGTCCTGCCTTGTCTCGTCTCTTTGTTTCATTAAGAATGCTGCAATTTCATCTTGGCGTTATGGGCACGTCGGGTTGTCGGCGCCGATGTAAAATTTTAGATTGAAAGCTGATTTTTCATTTTGCATTTTTTAAATGTTTTGTTTTCTCTCTCTCTCTCATTCAGTTTAAACTTTTTAAACACGGTCTTCGTTTTTACTTATGATTGAATTCCGTGTGATCTACATCCTAGATATATTTTAGAAAGTCTTTATCAAGTTAAATACCATGCAGCCTACTTAATTATGCATTTCTGTTGTGTTTATATATTCATCTAATGTACCCCTCTTATTACATCTTATCACAGCCTGTACGGCATTGCATACTATCTGTTTTAATGGCGTACTCCCTGTTTTAATTAACATAGTAAATAACTGTCCTTATGGTGTATATTGAGCCTCACATTCTGTCTGTTATCTGTAATTCCTCTTATTGTGTAATGTTCACGACGTATATCTTTATAAGGATAGCGTACATCTGGTTCTCCCTACTTAGTGTACACTGTATGTGCCGGAGCGAGTGTAAGAAGCATTAGTCTAAATTCTGCACTAAAGCTTTGTTACAGAATGCATGCGTTGTATTATAGTCCATGTCAGATAATATACACAGACCATTGTATATACGATATCAAACACTTCATTCGGAAATATTTGGAAAGTTTATACACAATATAGAACACACTGTAAAGTTTATTGTGTTCGAGAATTCCAACGGTCTTAACATTTATCACATCACAACACACCATATAAACCATATGTGTCATCCATCTTTTGCCATGGTTCAAAGTATACAACAATCTTTTTGTTCATATACACGCATAAAACATTTACATCTGCTCAGAATGGTTTTGTTATGCATCAGCTATATTCTCGTTTAAGAGTCTGACTCCCCCCTCACTCTCTCTCTTTCTCTCTCTTTCTCCCCCCCCTCTCTCTCTCACTCTCTCTCTCTCTCTCTCTCTCTCTCTCTCTCTCTCTCTCTCTCTCTCTCTCTCTCTCTCTCTCTCTCTCTCTCTCTTTCTCTCTCTCTCTCTCTCTCTCTCTTTCTCTCTTTCTCCCTCTCCCTCCCTCCCTCTCTCTCTCTCTCTCACTCGCGTGTGGGTGTGTGTGAATGAGTGTAAATGAGTGAGCATGTATGTATGTGTGTACGATAAGGTAAAGCCTGAGGCCATATTAAAGAATGACAGCAAGCGCTGCCGAGAGCGACACGAACCTGCGGCTGAGCGAGGCAAGAGATGGAGGAATTCGTCG